CCGTCGACGTCGTGGCCGTCGCGGTGGTCGTCGTTGTCGTCGTCGTCGCCGTGGTCCTCGACACAAAGAAGGGGAAGGTCGGAATAAGAGAAGGAGTGAAGCAGGGAGGAGTGACGGAGAGAGAGGGGTACAGGGGAGTAACAAAGTATGAGGGGCGCTGGCAGTCCACTGGCGGCTCTCATAACCATTGTGGCGAGGCTCTGCTTGAGAAGCAGCCGAGAGAGCTTATCGGCGCCTGATTCGCCTGCTTCTTGACCCCGCCAGACGCTGGCATCATCGCAGTACTCAAGCAGGCAGAAGTGGACTAAAACGAGAGGGAGCCTCCATGACCACACATCTTCAGGGCGCTGGTGCACTACCTCATCCAGACCCAAGGCTTACAAGCGAGTGCTGGCACAGTATTGGAATGTAGCGGTCAAGAAACCCCAGGAGAAGGGACTGATCATGCTGCATGACCATGCCAAGTTATTTCAGGCTTCGCCCCTGCTAATACGACGAGAAGACACACGACGCGCCACGACAGTCCAAGATCCAGAACATGGCCTCGGACAAACAGCATGTTGTATGCACTCGCGACAGCGAGGGCTCGGAGATCTGCACGCCCTACGACGCTCTCAACGAGATCCGGCTCTTCCAGAAACCATGGACGTACAAACCTGGCAGCGCCCCGGGGGAGGAGGCCTCGAGAGCGACGCAGAGATCTGTCTCCAGAAAATGGGCTTCAGCAACGACAGCATCCAGCAGGAGACCAAGAAGGGCGGCAAGGTCCGCAAGGGTCAGGGCCAGGACCAGGTAGAGGAGGGCACTGGGTGACGGCGCACCTCCAGGACATTGCAGGCTGTGACCGGATGCAAGACATGGCAGTGACATGTCAACTGAATCATGATTCCTTGAATCGCCTTCAGAAGATAGACCCGCCGTCCCCGTTCTGAAATACAAAACAGGAGAGCGTTATGTTTAGGTGTTCCATGCTTCAGATGCCCCCCCCCACGAGCTCGAGCGAAGTCTTGAAACACTCTTGAGGCAAGTTGCTTGATATCAAACCCTCACCACTGACCTTCCCCTCGCTCCCGTTGAATCCCCTTAGCCCCTTCCCGCTCCTGGCTCCCCCCCCCGTCCGCCGAATCCTGCGGATCAGTAGACAGCTGATTAAACTCATAGGATGGCGGCCTCATGACTCGCCCAATGTTGTTGAGTTGGGGACTGTTGCTCCTTGAGGGCGGTCTGGGTTTCCCCGACGGGCTGTCCCTATTTACGCCAGAGGGGTCCCCCCAGCAAAGCCGCTGGCATGCATGCCATAACGTGCAACACGGGTACATGTGTTATCCATATAATGTTGACCGCACCGAGGTGGACAGTTCTACCCACGGGGCCCAAGGCGCAGAGCTCGTAAATGGTCTTGTCTTGTCCACCACCTCGCCCCACATCCTTTCTCTGTCTACTTCCGTCCCTGCGTCTCCCAGCGTCGGTTTGCCCCCACTTCTGCGGCGCGCGGGTTGCCAAGCGGAGGCCGCGCTCTGGGCACGGGGCGTGCGCCGACACTTGCCCTGGGCGCTGGCTGCCCCCGGCAGGAGGACGAGGAGGGATGACTCGCGAAAGCGGAGGAGCATGGACGAGGAGCACGGCGGAGGATGGAGGAGGGAGGGGAGGGAGGACCAGAGTGAGCCCAAGATGCATCAACGACGCTTCGGTGCACTCTCCCGCCCCAGATGCCCTCTGCATGAGTCCCCACAAGTAGCTCTTCTCACTGGGAGAAGCGTCCCCTTGAATGACGAGCGCCTGGCTGGCCTGCCGCTCAGGCCAGACTCTCATAAATATAGGGGAACCATCCGCCATCTGTCTAGCAAAGACAAGTGAACAAACAAAACACTGCAGGACTACTAAATTCAAGCAAGTGTCCAACGATAGCCCCGCTTTGGCACAGGACCGCCATCCATCCGTACAAGCATTACGGTCATAAAACTCGCGGGAGTCTCAAGTGAAAGCCCAATTCTTCAAGAATTGTAAGGGCTGGCCCTCCATCAATTCAAATATTGCACAAATTGGACTTCTGGTAGTACGATCGAGGAAACGTCTCTCGAGCGGGAAACGCATTTCAAGCCGAACCAGCCTTCCATCCTCGCAACTGGTGGGAACATCAAACTCTCAGCAGACACTACCCGCTGGCACACCGACTCTGGCTCTTCACCAGCACAGTGGCATTAGCCGGTCCCTATCCCCATGGGGGTGACCTAGGCCGCACCAGCCGATCTAGCCCCCTAGATGGGAATATCGGCTGTTCCCGACGAGTTTCGAAGGGCATATCCCCAGCTGGGGTGGTGGGATGGTGGGGGTCGGGACGGGAATGGAGATGGGGATAGGGATCGGTTAAACGATACTTAGACACCACTCTACCAAGCAGAGGCATGGACGCTCACGGATACCCCCTCCTGCGGCACCTGCGGCGGGCACGGCGACGCATGTGCCGCATGACCATCGGGACGCCTCGACGGCGGGCCGTGCACCAAGCAGCCCCCCGCAGCAACCAGGAACGCCGGGGCTTCGACTGCACGACCGACGAAGAATTAGGGTCTGAGGTTTGCTCTTGCTGGCGGTTGGGGCTGCTTAGGTTTGCAAATCGCGGTCGCTTCCCCTTAGCCAGATTCAACCCAATATCACTAACGACGACGCGGACAGCAACCCGCCTCAGCACGACGCAACCGCGGCGCCAGACCAACACAGCGAGCGCGAAAACGACGACGACACCGCGAATGTCGATATGGAGCTTCGATTAGATTGCGATCAACATGCTACTCGGAGCGCAGAGCACCTCCTGAAGCACCACTGGATCGTCATCTGGACGACGACGCGCAAGCTGAAGGCATGGCCCATGGCTTGAAAAGTCGCCAACCACGAGCACGCAGGGTGGAGTTGGAGATCACTACAGTGGTAACCAGGAGCCAGCCCGCGCCAACTCCGGCCAATGACAGCAGGGCGGCCAACGCAAGCGCATACGCTGACTCGACGACGTGACCAGGGACCGACAGCAACGAAGACCAGACCTGCATCTGGCGCCCAAACCTGACACCTCGAAGTGCCAACCGAACGACCTCTCTTGGGATCGAGCGGCCCCAGAACGCCTCCCTCACTCGGGCAACGCTCGAACACAAATCCACCGCCACTGGACGACGGCACTTCCAACCCTTGTCGACACCGGCGACCTGAACCTCCTGCCCCTCTTTTCCGTTATGACATATGTATCCATATCTTGGTGCCCAAGCGCGGTATTTTACTCATGCTATGGCCTCACCCATCTGGTCTTGGTGAGGGCTCAGACGGTTGTCAGCAATTGCGGACGGTCGCTCGTGTGAATGCAGGAAGCTTTGAAGACGATTGTGCGCGCGGCTGAGGCGAGAGCCACCTTTTGAATACCACTAGCGTTTCATGTTTCCAGCGCTGCTAGAAAATCGGAAGACAAGTGTTCACACCGCTGCTGTTGGAACCGGATTGTGAAAGCAGCCAGTCATCCACCCTGTACTTGCTGCACACTTTGCAAAAAAAACTGTGCACCGACCTAGGGTGAGCAAAGAGCAGATTGCTGAACATCATGAGTGTTTCACGAAAGTCCATGTTGAGAACTATCGGAAGTTTCAAGCGAAACACACAGTCGGGACTGAGGACACATATGGTGGGGCGACAGCGGTGGTTATTCAGAAAGGTCAGGGTGGAGGAGGATGGAGGAGGCGTCTGGCTGGAAGAGGATGAGGGTGGAGGATTGAGGAGGAGGGTGAAAGAGGCTGCGCCCCGCAGGATGAGCATCAAGTTGGGATGAAGGGCGGGGGATGGAGATAATGAAACCTAACTTGCATGATTGTGCGGGGGTTGAGGCCGTGATATCGCAAAGTGGACGGCCGGTTGGGGACCATCCAAAAGCCAAAGTCGCGCGGGTCGTGGGATGTAGTTCACATAACGACTTCTGTCAAGTGGACTCCGCCCGCTGTGTGAATCCAGCGCAGGCACTGCTGAGTTCGTAGCTCCAGCGCGCAGGCCGCTGTTGCATTCGATGGCTCATGGGGGTGGTGGAGGAACTCCGAAATTCGCCGTCCCTCCCTTTGATCTTTCTTTCCGTCATGGAACATTTGCCCCTCACCCGTGGTTTGCAGGGATGTATGCCAGTGGACGGATCGTCGAAGCCATCCTTGAGGTAATTGTTTCGCAACCCAGTCCGCGCATCTGTACACTTCGCGTAGCTCTCCACTCTACACCATCTGGGCTTGCGTCGTGAGGCCATCGTCGCGAACTTGATGTTTGTGCGCGGTAGCCGTTACCTGTTTCGTCGCGCGCTTGGCCGCGCGCTTGATCTGCGCCAGCCGTGGCTCCAGTTCCGCGTCCCCAGACTGATTGTCGCGGATGTTGTCGTCGTCGTCGTCGGTTGTTCGGTCTTTGCGTCGTCAATGTCAGAGTCCAGGTGGGACGTTGAAAGGTGGCCAATGTCCGTCCCCGTCGTCTTCAGATGGGTTTGCATATTCCTCGCGGTAGCTCGGCTCTGCTGTCGAGGTCGTTATGGACGGTGTGCTCGCTGCAATTGTTTGACGACGTCTGCGCTGGGTTGCCCACACTCAGTCGCAGCATGCGTCGTCGGCTGCGTTGCGCTCGTTGCCGTGAAGCTCGGCCATGATCCACGCACCTTTCGCATGCTGTCGATGTGTGACCGTGATGCCGACTAGCCAGAGTCGCTGCTTCAGTGGACCGCATTTTCCAATGAGATCTTGTCTATGAGAGGATGGGCTGTGGAGGGGTAGAAGGGCGGAGGGTAGGATGAGGATGAGGAGTGTGCATGGGGTGTTGCTTCTCTGCCGCCTTCGCCGGGCCCCTGCCGATGTCGGCGCCTCTTCTGGCTTGCCGTTCAGCTCACCCTGTTTCCACCCCCCCCTCGCTCCCCAGACACCCTGTTCGCTGTTCGCGAGAACAGCGAGACGCGTCATCCGACGTTCGACGACGACCCCAGGCACCCCAGCTGCTCACTCGGCGGCCTGGCCGCTGGCGCCCCGTCGAGACCTCTCCTCCTGGTGCCCCGGCCGCGCCCACCCACCGCCGCACCTCGCGGACGTGCAGCACCCACCGCGACCAGGAGCCTGAGCGAGGCGCGGCGGTGTCACCGTCGTCAGCTTCCCCACCGTCGCTGTCGTCAGTCGCCCTCCTCCTCCTCCTCCTCCTCCTCCTCCTGCTCCTCCTCCTCCTCCCTCCTCTTCCTGAAGCCTGGTCTCCTCTTCCACCTCCTCCTCCTCCCCCTCCCCTTCACTTCCGGTCACCTCGATCCTCCTCCTCCCTTCTCCACCTCCACCTGCTCCTCCTCCTCCTCCTTTTCCTCCTCCTCTTCCTCGTCCTCCTCCTCCTCGTTCTCGTCCTCGTCGTCGTCCTCCTCGTCCTCCTTCTCCTCCTCCTCATCCTCCTCCTCGCCCTCCTCGTCCTCCCTCCCCTCCTCCCTCCTCCTCCTCCTCCTCCTCCTCCTCCTCCTCCTCCACCTCCTCTCCCCCTTGTCCTCCGCGTCCACGTCCTCTCCCTCCTCCTCCTCCTCCTCCTCCTCCTCCTCCTCCTCCTCCTCCTCCTCCTTCTCCACTCCGTCCCCCTCCTACCCCTGGCCCTCGTCCCCACCGTCGTTCTCTTCGTCCCCCTCGCCCTGCTTGCTCTCGTGCCGCCCCTTGTCCTCCTTTTCCTTCTTATCCTCCTCATCCTCCTTCCCGTCCTCCTCGCCATCTCGTCGTCGTCGTCGTGGTCGTCGTTGTCGTCGTCGTCGTTGTTGTCGTCGTCGTTGTTGTCGTCGTCGTCGTCGTCATCACGCCCCTCCTCCTAGCCCCTCCTCCCTTTCCCCCTCCCTTTCCCCCTCCTGCTCCTCCTCCAAGCGCTGGGCAAGCTGACGCCCGGGGGCGCTCTGACCTCCCGCGGGCCTCCCCAGCCCCAGAGACGGAGGGAGAGAGACGTCGGCACGGGGAGGACCGCTCCGCCCGCGCACGACTTCGCCCACGGACCGCTTCGCCCGCGGATCGCCCCATTTGGGCCACAAGATGCATGTATATACTGGTATAAAGCATCAGGTATATGTACGTATGTATGCATGTGTGTATATATACACACATGTGGTTCCCCCCCAAGCTCATACCTTCTTATCTTGAATCGTAGTCACGTTCATTATCCTCTGATTCATCTTCCCCTTCTCGTCTTCCATCATCCCCCCCGTCGGCGTCCCACTGTTCGTCCGCATCCCTCTCTTACCATCTACTTTCATATGGTGATTCGAGTGTGTCGCCCTCGGAACACAGAAACGCTGTGTATGTTTGTTGTGTCTGCTTTTTTGGGCTGGGATGCAAGGAACCACGGTGTATTTTGGGTTGTTTGGGTTTTTGTTTCCCCACATGCTTCGTCGTGGGGTTCTGGTTTTCTTCCCTGCCGCGCCGCACCCGCGTCTCACACACCTCCCGCCTCCTCACCCACACACTCGCACACAGCCGCACGCATGCACACATTCGCACATACAAGACGCATGTTCACTGCACGACATCTGCACGACATACTGGGCAACACGTGAGATATGTCCCGATATGGCCGCACACGCATCATACACATACACACGGCAAGCCATGCGGCAGGCGAGCAGGCGTGGCACTTCCTCGACACCATAGGGGGTGCGCAGAGGGTGGTCCCTCAGCGGGGCCTCTATCCGTGACACGCTCGCAGGGCGTGGCAGGCGCGGCACTTTCTCGACACCGCTGGGGGGCGCAAAGGGTGGTCCCTCAGCGGGGCCTCTATCCGTGACACGCTCGCAGGGCGTGGCAGGCGTGGCACTTCCTCGACACCATAGGGGGTGCGCAGGGGGTGGTCTCTCACCGCGGCCGCTATGCACGACAGCCGTCCAAGCACAGCAGGCGCGGCACTTTCTCGACACCACAGGGGGTGCGCAGGGGGTGGCCCCTGAGCGCGGCCGCTATCCGTGACACGCTCGCAGAGCGTGGCAGGCGCGGCACTTTCTCGACACCACTGGGGGGGCGCAGAGGGTGGTCCCTCAGCGGGGCCTCTATCCGTGACACGCTCGCAGGGCGTGGCAGGCGCGGCACATTCTCGACATCACATGGGGGTGCGCAGAGGGTGGTCCCTCAGTGCGGCCTCTATCCGTGACACGCTCGCAGGGCGTGGCAGGCGCGGCACTTTCTCGACACCACTGGGGGGGCGCAGAGGGTGGTCCCTCAGCGGGGCCTCTATCCGTGACACGCTCGCAGGGCGTGGCAGGCGCGGCACTTCTCGACACCACATGGGGGGTGCGCAGAGGGTGGTCCCTCAGTGCGGCCTCTATCCGTGACACGCTCGCAGATCGTGTCAGGAGTGGCACTTTCTCGACACCACATGGGGGTGCGCAGAGGGTGGTCTCTCAGCGCGGCCTCTATCCGTGACACGCTCGCAGGGCGTGGCAGGCGTGGCACTTTCTCGACGCCACATGGGTGTGCGCAGAAGGTGGTGTCCCTCAGCGCGGCCTCTATCCGTGACACGCTCGCAGATCGTGGCAGGAGTGGCACTTTCTCGACACCACAGGGGGTGCGCAGAAGGTGGTGGTCCCTCAGCGCGGCCTCTATCCGTGACACGCTCGCAGATCGTGGCATGAGTGGCACTTGCTCGACACCACAGGGGGTGCGCAGAGGGTGGCCCCTGAGCGCGACCGCTATCCGTGACACGCTCGCAGATCTTGGCAGGAGTGGCACTTTCTCGGCACCACAGGGGGTGCGCAGAGGGTGGTCCCTCAACGCGGCCTCTATCCGTGACACGCTCGCAGATCGTGTCAGGAGTGGCACTTTCTCGGCACCACAGGAGGTGCGCAGAGGGTGGTCCCTCAGCGCGGCCGCTATGCACGACGGTCGTCAAGGGAATAGCAGGCGTGGCACATTCTCGACGTCATAGAGGGTGCGCAGGGGGTGGTCCCTCACCGCGGCTGCTATGCACGACGGTCGTCCAGGGCATAGCAGGCGCGGCATTTTCTCGACACCATAGAGGCTGCGCAGGGGGTGGTCCCTCACCGCGGCCGCTACGCACGACGGTCGTCCAGGGCATAGCAGGCGTGGCACTTTCTCGACACCATCGAGGGTGCGCAGGGGGTGGTCCCTCACCGCGGCCGCTGGCTGGCTCGAATCTGTCCTCGACGGAGGATAGAAGGCTAGGAAGAGGGAGGAGGTTCAAGCAATATAGCGTTGGATGACACATAGGGGAACATTCGCGACGAGGGCTGAGAACGCAGAATTGCGCATATCTTATAAACTTAAGCAAACACACAAGATCTAAGTTAAGTATGTGGGGTTCCTCGGTAGCGTAATTTGAGCTTGAGAAGTTCAAGTGTTCCCCGCGGCCTCCGCCCCAGCATCTCCTCCTTCTCCTCCCTTCCTCTTTCCCCCTATTTCTCCTCCGTTCCTTTTCTCCTCCTTGCTGCAAAGCAGGACATCCAATAATACACAGTGTTTGGCGCCCTCGGTGCAAGGAAACGCTGTGGTGAGTTAGGTTGTTATGTTTTGTTTGCCTAGGATGCAAGGACGCACTGTGTATTTGTTTTTGGTTTGGAAGCTCAAGTGCTCCCAGCGGCCTCCCCCCCAAACGCCTCCTCCTTCTCCCCCTTTCTCGTTCCCCCTCCTGTTCCTCCTTTCTTTTTTCTCCTTGTTGCAAAGCAACAAGAACCAATAATACCGTGTTTGGCGCCCTTGGTGCAAGGAGACGCTGTGTATTTTGATCTGTCTGGATTAATGTGATCTAGGATGCAAGCAAGCCTTGCGTATGTTTGGTTATTGTGGGTTTGCTGGGTTCTGGAAGCTCAAGTGCTCCCCGCTGCCTCCCCCCAGCACCTCCTCCTCCTCCTCTTCCTCCTCCTCCTCCTCCTCCTCCTCCTCCTCCTCCTCCTCTCTTCGGAGCTCCAATCCCCCTCAAAACAAATTACCCAACTAAACACAATGTTTCCTTGCATACTAGACCAACAAAAACAATATTAACCTAACACACCACAGCGCTTCCTTGCACCAAGGGCCCCCAATACTGTGTATTCTTGGTTTTCTTGGTGTGCAACAAGAAGGAGGAAAGGAAACGAGGAGAAAGAGGAGGAAAGAGGAAGGGGGAGAAGGAGGAGGTGCTTGGGGGGAGGGCACTTGATCTTCCAAAACCAAATTATGCTAACGGAGTTCCCCACATAAAGAGATTAACGGTTTCGTGGGACCCATTTTCTTGATGCCCTCCTCGCTTTGGCGGGGCCCCGCTGGAAGGGGGGAGGACTACGAAACCTGGCGAAGAGTAATGCTTTCCGCGACCCTCCTCGGTCAAGCGCGGCCTCTCTGGAAGAGTGGAGGGGGGACACGAAACCGTGTAAACAGCATGGTTTCCGGGAGGGGCACGAAACCATGTAAATAGTATGGTTTTCGGATACCCTCCTCGCTCAGGCGGGGCCTCCCTGGAGAGGTGGGAGGGGCACGAAACCATGTAAATAGTATGGTTTTCGGATACCCTCCTCGCTCAGGCGGGGCCTCCCTGGAGGGTGGGAGGGGCACGAAACCATGTAAATAGTATGGTTTTCGGATACCCTCCTCGCTCAGGCGGGGCCTCCCTGGAAGGGTGGGAGGGGCACGAAACCATGTAAATAGTATGGTATTCCGATACCCTCCTCGCTCAGGCGGGGCCTCCCTGGAGGGGTGGGAGGGGCACGAAACCATGTAAATAGTATGGTATTCCGATACCCTCCTCGCTCAGGCGGGGCCTCCCTGGAGGGGTGGGAGGGGCACGAAACCATGGAGGGGTGGGAGGGGCACGAAACCATGTAAATAGTATGGTATTCCGATACCCTCCTCGCTCAGGCGGGGCCTCCCTGGAGGGGTGGGAGGGGCACGAAACCATGTAAATAGTATGGTTTTCCGATACCCTCCTCGCTCAGGCGGGGCCTCCCTGGAGGGGTGGGAGGGGCACGAAACCATGTAAATAGTATGGTTTTCCGATACCCTCCTCGCTCAGGCGGGGCCTCCCTGGAGGGGTGGGAGGGGCACGAAACCATGTAAATAGTATGGTATTCCGATACCCTCCTCGCTCAGGCGGGGCCTCCCTGGAGGGGTGGGAGGGGCAC